AAAAAAAAAAAAAAAAGAAAAAACAAGAGAAAAACGATTACATTAATTAGAAAAAAAATAAAAAATTAAAGTCTAATTTTATTGTGAGTGAAAACAACATAATGTATTGTATTAAATCGGGTAGGTTCCACTCTCCTCCCTCTTCCCGTTCTTCTCTGGCTTTGGAGGGTCGGGTTCGGTCCCGTGCTTTGTTCCCGGGTCGTCGGGATTTGGGAGGTGGAGTTTTGTATTGGATCTCCAGTTGCGGGTTGTCTACTCGGGCGAGAGGCAAGGTCTTTTGTCTCGGTTCTAGTTAGGCGATTTATCTGCAGTTTCTAGTTTTGCGGCTTGAATCGGGTCTCTGTCTATCTGGGTGGTCGCTCGTGTGGATTAACGTCTTCGATGTTGTTCGTGTGGGCTTAGCTGTTGGGGGAAGGGCTTCAGTTTAGTTTTTGTGTTTTGTTTCTTTTGTTTGTGTTTTGTTGTAGTGTGTGTTTGTATTTTCTCCTGTGTATTCTCATGTTGGGGAATGTGTGTATTCTCCCGCTGGGAAGTGGATATTTTTCCGTTAGGGAGTTTTTTATTTGTGTATTTGTTACGTGGCTTATTAGGCTACTTTTGGTAAGCTTCCCTATTTCAGCTAATGAGTCGGTTGTAAGTATCCTCCCTATATATAATTCCCGAATGCGCTAAGCCTACGTGGCTGCTTCTGGTGCTTCGGAATCCTATTTGGCGAAGAATCATGCTTTGTAATTAGGTTTGGATAAATAATATTGATATATTAATAATTAATAATCTAGGTTCGGGTATTCCATAAATATTATTTAGCTAACTTAGGTATTTTAATATCACTTTTACTAATATAACCTTTTAATTCTTTGTAATTTTACAAGTGAGGCACTAAGTGACTAATATATCCCTGAATTTTGATTTGTTTCCTTCAATAAGCTATTGAATTAATCATCTTTTGATGATCTTCGATTTGACATCCATATTGTATATACAAAATAAATAAATTATATTTATTTTAATAATAATAAAAAATAATAATATTTATTAAAATTAATTAGAAAAATAAAATTATTTCCCAATTGATATATTTATATGCAATGTAGTTATATATTGTAAGTTAAAAAAATAGTATAATATAACACAAGTAAGTTGCACAAATAAAAAGTGTCATAATAAATATATAAT